ACAACATGAACAGCGTACGAAGGGGGTTAAAAACAGAAACTAAATGCGTCGCTTGTTCATACCGAGTTTCGAACTATTTCATACGCGCGTGATGGACAAAGTTTCAGAACCGGGTGCATCCTTTGACACCCTGTTGGTCTCAGCTCCAAACATTCGCTCCAAAGCCCTGGCCCTTTCGTCCTCCATTCGTCATGCCGGCGACTGGCTGAACGTCATCCCGTCCTCTGCCCTGGGCCTCCACCTTCCAGACCGGGAATTCCGATTCTGCTTGCAGTACTGGCTGGGCCTCCACATGTTCGAGGAGGGTATTAGGTGTCCGGTTTGTCATGTCCCGGCTGACTCCTTTGGGGACCATCAAGTGGGTTGCGGAGGAAACTGCGACAGAATCCTCCGACATAACTCCTTCGGGATGCAGTTTTTTCAGCAGCTCAGTCAGCTGCCTTGGCGCCCGAAGGGAAGTCCCCTCTCTGGTCCCCGGCACCCGAAGCCGGCCCGCTGACATCTATCTCCCCTGCTGGAAAAGAGGCCGCCCTGCCGCCCTGGACATCACCGTCATCTCTACACTACAGCAATCAACCGTTCGGGGTGCTGCAGAAAATCAGGGCCATGCCCTTTTAGTTGCTGAGGAGAGAAAGTTTGCTTCTCACGGTGCAGCCTGCCAGGCCGTTGGCATCAGTTCATCCCTCTCGCCATAGAGTCCCTAGGTGGCGTGAGTGATATGTCTGCTGACACCATCTTCAGCCTGGGCCGTCTTTTGGGTCAGCGTTTGGGGATCTCTCCGGTCGAATCTACTCGTCATCTTTACCAAAGACTCGCAATATCTCTCTGGAGGGGAAATGCTTCTGCCTGGATTCACCGCAGTCCACAACTTTCCCCCTCTCTGGATGGTGTTATTTGACTCTGTGTTGTTTTGCGTTGTTTTGTTGTTCTTTTGTGTTTTTTTTGGTTTTTTTTGGTTTCTTGTTGTTGATATTGTAGTTTAGCTACATGTATATACGTTGTTTTTTTGAAAAAAAAAGAAAAAAAAAGGTGCTTTTTGAGGATCATTACCAAGTCGCGTAAAACCGTGCCACTGTAAGAGCATCCCTTTCTACTAGACGGGGTTTTACGTGGGTTGCAACCTGCGTAAAACTCCCCCATGATAGGATCATGGCGTAGGTCGCGTAAAGTCGTGCCATGTTTGTTTCAGTCGTGGGGTAAGTCGCGTAAAATCGTCCCATGATTGAATCAGGGCATTTAGCTACATCCCTTTTACGCGAAGTTAACAGTCAGTATACACGCGCCAAGCAATCCCTTCCACTGATCCATAGCTCCTTGCACTTAGTGGCTGTTGTGTTCGAAGGACGTACACTATATAGGCGATTTATACTGGATCGACCATGTCCGCTATGCGGTGAGCTCGGTGGTGGGGTGGTCAATGCAGCACAATTTAGGACCTACGCAATCTTTAATTTTTGCATCCTGCGTTGTGAGATCAGTAACCTGTCGCTATTGATCAGAGTTTGTTGTCTGAAGACAGTTGCTTACAAGGTGCCTTCAAACGGTCTTACAGAACTTCGCGTAAAAGGGATGTAAATGCCCTGATTCAATCATGGGACGATTTTACCCCACGACTGAATCATGGCACGACTGATCTCACAACGCAGGATGCAACAATTAAAGATTGCGTAGGCCCTAAATTGTGCTGCATTGACCACCCCACCACCGAGCTCACCGCATAGCGGACATGGTCGATCCAGTATAAATCGCCTAGTGTACGTCCTTCGAACACAACAGCCACTAAGTGCAAGGAGCTATGGATCAGTGGAAGGGATTGCTTGGCGCGTGTATACTGACTGTTGCACTGCTCAAGTTGGCTGAGTCTCTCTCTATTGACGCCAACTCCCTTGAGTTTTCAGACGACTTAGGTTCCGAGTTTCTGCCCTGCCGGTGAGAACGCGAAGCAATCAAACTTGCAGGACTGTTATATGCATGCATTATTATAATAGGTCTTGGATTCAAGCTTGCGAGGAAGGGGAGCCCACTCCAAGATGCACGACCCACGAGGAATATGCCCAATTTCGCTGCCCGCTGCAACAACAACAACAACAACAGCAGCAACAACTTGTCGTCGCTCAAGCGGTTTTTCCAGGGAAATGCGCAATGGTTAACGGCAGATGCAGTTTCTCTCAGACTCAACCTTCTTGCGTACAGAGTTGCCGCTATTTCGGTCACGAGTGCAGTACGATTGACCATTTCTTTGCTGATCCAGTGACGCCCCGTCAGAGTTGTCCTCCGGGGTTTCCGTCGTCTTCTGACGTCTGTATTCCAGAAGACGGTGGATGCGCCTTCCGCAATCCCTGCGTTCTTTTTCAAGGTCACTGCGGCGGGGAGTACACGTGTGGGAGTCTAGCCGACTATGCTATATTTCTCACCTCGGCTCTTCCGCCGTGTGCGCCACCAGCTCCTCTAAGTCTCAACCCGGTACCCCGAGTTCCCCGTCCCTCACCACCCGGAGAATGCATTTACCAGGACGGCCAGTGCAAGTGGTCTCGTAAGCTAACACTTTATCCATTATTATTTTCAGTCACTAGCTCCAATTTTTTCAGAGTGTCGTACCTGGCTCTCTGCCTCATGCAGAATAAGCTGGAATTGTGGCACAACCTATGAGTACGAGTTATCCCAATACTACCCACGTCCTAGATGTGCATACGACCCCACTGAATTGCCACCTGTTGACCCTGGCAGGTGTGAATACAATGTTGAGTTGGAAGAATGTGCTTTCAGTGAAGGTGACCAGTTGTAGCTAGCTACCCACCTCTTTGCTTTATCCCGGTTTTGTTATTCTTGTGTAGTGTGCGACGGGGGGAAGGTTTTTCAAGAATGTGGATCTCCCTGTCCTCAAACATGTGATGGCATGGACATCCCTTCTGGTCACCTCTTTTGTCCAGCAGTCTGCCTCAGAGGTTGCTTCTGTCCTCCTGGCACTATTCTACACCAGGACCAGTGTATTCCTCCGCACCAGTGTCCGCCAACTCTGACACCTGTACGTTTCTTATAACATGGATTCAACTCAGTCTTTGCCCTAGACACCCCCGAGCCGTGTTTACCTCAATACTGGGGTTTTCTCCCTTATTAAGAGCTAATTAAGAGCTAATTGAGGGCTTATTTAGCTATAATCAATACGTGGGTAAAGGAGGGTAAAGTTTACTCTCAATCTTTTTCTCTGCAGGCGAAAAGGAATACAAGAAAATAAGATAATAACTATGGAAACTGTTATTCTCAGATTAGTTATTAACCTTTCACTCTCGCGTGCTATCTACTACTGTAGCTAGCCCGTGTAAGACTCTCTGTGAGCCGAGGGTTTGCACTTTAGTGCTTTTCAGTTTGTAACAGCACCGACTTTGGATGATTTTTCCCTAGTAAGTGTATACTAGGAATTATGCGCACGCGCATATTTTGCCTCTCGCCTGCCAGCCAATGCGTAAACAGTCCGACTGAGGCCGCTCGTGCACGCGCTATATAATTATACCGACTGCGCGCGAAGCCACGAATCTGCGCGCATGGCGGAAGCTAGACTTCCTACGAATTACGGAAGTTACACTTCCGCTTTGTGACTAATTTACATTACCAAGCGTGACTAATTGACGACGTACGTACGTACGCATATCGCGAGAATACAACCCGGAGTAGTTGCCTCACGCTAACGCGCTCGGCAATAAATTTGCCATAGTAAGCACATTGCGCATGCGTATAATACTAGTGGAAATGTCGAACATGGTTGGCGCGCGGGAGCGACCCAACTTGGGATTTGTCCGCGATGTCTGGGCTGCATAACGTGCCGTCACAGCTTTCCTTTCGATGCGTACTGTATATTTCCAGAACGGTGAGCAGGTGAGCAGAACGGTCCTTACCTTACGCTTTCAGGTCGTCTGTCGTAGTCCACCAGGCAGCTGGCATGGCAGTCGGCTAGGCAGCGATCGATCGGGCTGCCCTACAACGCGGCGTGTGTTAGCTGCAGCTGGCATGCAGCAGTAGTGCACGAGCAATCCTAGCAGCTTGGAACCATTAAGATTGGGAAGAGGTACAGCCTCGGTCAGTCACCGAAGGTTGCAGCGCATGCCGTCGAATGGAGGAGAGCTATAGCTGGCGAGGCACCGCGTGTGAAAATGTTGGAAATATTTTCGGATAAAAAGAAGCGCGTACAAAGCCGCGCATGCGCACCTACACGACGGACGGACCACGGACGTATATACTAGTGGAAATGTTGAACATTGTTGGCGAGCGGGAGCGACCCAACTTGGGATTTACCCGCGATGTTCGGGCTGCATAACGTGCCGTCAGCGCACAGCTTTCCTTTCGCGAAGCAAGACAGATGTATATACCTGTCGCCGTTACATGCGTATTGTACATTGGCAGAACGGTGAGCAGGTGAGCAGAACGGTACTTACCTTACGCGTCAGTCGTGGTCCACCAGGCAGAGGCATGCAGCAGTATGTGCACGAGCAATCCTAACAAGTTGCACCTTGGAACCATGAAGATTGGGAAGAGGTACAGCCTCGGTCAGTCACAGAAGATTGCAGCGCATGCCGTCGAATGGAGGAGAGTTCTCTCGCCGGCTAGATCGATAGGCACATTATCGCGAGGCACCGTGTGTGAAAATGTGGAAATAATTTCGGATAAAAAGAAGCGCGTACAAAGCCGCGCATGCGCACTTACACGACGTACGAACGCATATATATATATATATATATAACTAGTAGGCGAATGCATGGCATTTTTGGCGAGCGGAAGCGCGCTTACAATTGGGGTCTAATCGTATGAGTCACTCTTGTGTGTGCACAAAACAGTGAGATACATTGCACAGGACCAAGTAGGCCGAAACGACCCGAGCGCAGTAGACAATTCGAGTCGAGTCAAAAACAGTCAGTCGACAGCGCGAATGAGGCATAATCCGGCAATCTGATTGGTCTTGCAGGAATAGGGAACAAGTGGCAATGTAGAAAAATCTCTCGCTGGACTGTGCAGCAATACTCGATATCTTCGGAGGCGTTGCGTTTCCCCTGATTCCGCTCGATTCAGGCAGCATTATGAAAATGTTGAATAAATACACAGAAAATTCCGCTCGAACGAACGACTAGGTTGGCTCGCTCCCGCTCGCCAATTATAGAAAATTCCGCTCGAACGACTAGGTTGGCTCGCTCCCGCTCGCCAATTACTAGGAATGCGCACGCGCATATTTTGCCTCGCGCCTGCCAGAATGCGTAAACAGTCCGACTGAGGCCGCTCGTGCGCGCGCTCTACTGACTGCGTGCGCGCGATGCCAGACTTCCTAAGAATCTGTGCGCACGACGGAAGCTAGACTTCCTACCAATGACGGAAGTTACACTTCCTTTTGGTGACTAATTGACATTCCCAAGCGTGACTAAAGACGTATATACGTACGTACGCATATCGCGAGAATACAACCAGGAGTAGTTGCTTCACGCTAACGCGCTCGGCAATAAAATCTATGCGCGTCAGCTGCCGACGTGCCATTTTCTCTTGTATAATACTTGGTACATAATGCTGAATGACAAAAGGGATGTATGGCACACAGATGTGTTTTTTAGGGATCCTGAGTGACATCATCTTCAAACTCAGCCCAATCCTGGATACTCTGGACTTCAAACCAAATGTCCTTCCACTGCTTGAATCTCTTAGTGGACTCGCCGTACTTGAAGAGAAGAAGCTCTCGCACTTCAGAACTGGAAACTTGTACCCTGTATCCCCCCACACTGCGATTACCCCCATTGGGCTCCTGCCAGTTTTGGGGCAAGCGACCGTATATCTGTACTGGTTTAACGAAATCATATGAGACGTCTGGCTTGTTGTGCTCCTTCTTGTCATACATGTTGCTGAAGGCTTTACTAGGCACCACATGGTGAGGGTTTTCATCACCACTGAGAGTGTAGGCAAACACATCAGAACCTCTGCAGGCGAGGACGTTGCATTCTATGCAGCGAACTTCGACTTGTCGGTCTGTGTCTGGCCACTTGCTCCTGAAGTAGATAGAATGCAGTTGCAGTGCCTTACGTCTCTCTCTTGAATGAAAGACTTCTGCTTTGAAGGAATAACATCTGTTAACGGCTGATCTTTCAGCATGGTGAGAGAAGCTTCAACCAGACGCTGCTTTTCTTCCGCGACAAGGTACCAGTAGTCCTTGTTTGAGTTGGTGGAGACTACGGTGTACATTCTGCTATCCTGTGCCCTTGCCCTTCCCTTTGCCTGAACCTGAGCAATCTCGTTGGACACATTCTGGTAGCGGACGACAAAGTTGCACTCTGGAACGTCTATCCTTCCTCCAGAACTGAGGTAGAAGCCAGAGATTGTATATGCCTTGGCGGAACCCCTCTAGAACTCGAAAGCTGCTCAGATTTTTCCATTCCTCTGCACGGTTGTAGCCAGTGATATGAGTAGCTTTGATGGTGGGGAGAGAGTGGGAGAGCTTTTGATCCAATTTGTGACGTATCTCGTGTGTTTGATTGATTGAACAAAGAAGATTCCTTTTGATTGAGGACACCTAGCAAACTGATCACGGAGAATGGTTTCCATGTGCTCCAGTAATGGGTTTGGGATCTTGGGTAAACTAGACAGTTTTTCCATCAAGTCCATGTGAACGCCAAAGAGGAAATGTTCAAAACCGGTCTGATCTCTGAATTCCTCGACTTCTTCAAGCACTGACACTGCATCTTCATGTCGGAAATCACTGTAGGTCATGAGGCATTGGGAGTAGACACTCAGTCTATCGAGAACTGAAATCCTTTTCCTTTCATCTTCCTCCCTGTTCTCTGCTGCTTCTTTCTCGTTTTGTAGCCATGTGTCATATCCTGATGAGCCCCGTGCAAGGCAAGGATTGTTTCCTATGTAATGCTCGAGTGTTTCCATAGCGGAGTTAACATACAGAATGAACGGATCATTTGGATTTCGCTCATCGCCGACTTCAAGATATTTCCTTGGAGCATTTCGATATTTTTCAAGCTCAGCAGCATTTCTCTGAACGGTAACAATACCAGATGTGGCATCCATACTTGCACATAGGGAGAGTTGGTGTTCTACGACGGTGACAATGTTAGATTTCCCTCTCCCTGCCCCAGGAGAAGCAGTCAAGCCTACAATTTGAGGAAGTGGTGTTCCACCAAAGTGTGGTGGTAAGGTAGATGCTGGCTTTGCAAGCTTTGACCTGATGTAAAATTCCATGATGTCACTGTAATTGGAGGGGCGGCCAGCGTGATGGCATTCGTCAGCAACAATGAGGGAAAAATCGGTAATTTCGACGGCTTCTGTTTTGAGTTCTCTCCGTAGCTTTCCAGCCGTGCACACAATCACATCAACTTCATCTCCCTGAACTAGTGGATGCATTGGTCGACAACTTGCCCCTGTAATTTCAACTAATCTCATGCCAGGGATGTATTCTTGAAGCTTTGTCTTCTGTTGGAATGTTAGTTGTCGTGTTGGAGTCACAAATGCAACTTTTCTCCTTCTACCTTCTTTCAGCATCTTGTTCAAGTGGTGCATGATGATGTAGCCTGCAACTAGAGTTTTCCCTGTCCCGGTTGGAGCTACAAATATGTAATTCTCTCCCTGGAGACCTGGACCAGCCAGTTCCTCCTGGTACCCTCTTAGCCAGATACCGTTTTGTAAACTGAGCTCTTTGGAGAATGCTACTTTGGATTCTTCGGGATTGCTCAATGGCTCATGTTGTAATGTTGCTGGTGATGTCATTATTCTTGCGGCCAGGTTAGCATGTCCGACAGACCGAGCCGATAAGGCTTTGCACAACGCGGCCCACGTACAGTTCTTGCCATTTTCAAGCCATTTGAGAATCATACTGTGAAATTTATCGTCAATATTACCGTTGTTTTCATTGATAACTTCAATATCAGGCGGACTAATCAGGAGTCCCAAGCCAATGTTCTTCCACTTGGGCCTGGTGTCCCAGATCGCTTCTTGAACCTCGTACAAATCATCTACTCTCAAATCCATCATTCTTTTCTGCAAAATATATTATATTATAATTGGGCGATAACTCAAAAAATGATTCACTATGCTCATGCTCTATCGAAATCACAACAGTTAAGAATTGTACATGCATGTGACCTATAGCCATGGGATGCCATTGCTTATTAGCATTTAGGCTCTGTCACTCTCGCGAATTTAAATAAGAGGCATAATTAACCCTCGGCGCGCATGCGCTGCGAGGGTTACTGTACTTGGTCGCCACGTTCTCTGCAACCACGCGCAACGAGACAACGAAAGAGCGATACCAACAGGTTCATCGCTACACTGGGTTCATTTTTAAAAAGACGATTATTATATAACTACGGCGTTCAAAAGTTATGGCGTGAAAAGCAAGTTAACAAGCCAATGTGCTAATTAGTATTCGCTTACTTCTAGGAAGCGAGAATTAAACACATGCGTGTGTTACACTGGCGGGTTGCGCACAATGATCACGTGTTTTTCGCCGTAAATGGCACCGTTGAGCGGTGGTTTGAGGGCAGCGCTCGAGGATATTTCTTGTCGTTTCTGGTGCAAATACAAATTTGAGCTGGCAATCAGCACTCGACTCCATTCCGAGTGTTGTAAGCAGAGGGGGCTGACCGATGGAGAGCGCGATAGACGCCTGCAGTGTGACACAACAGTATTCGGCGGCGTGGAACCACGCATGTGACACATAGCCCAAACCACATACGTGGTTCCACGCCGCCAAGGGTTTTGCACTTTAGTGCTTTTCATTATTACAAGGATGGTATAAAAAGAAAGGGGAGACAAGGTAGGGATGGGATACATGAAGCATGGTTAATCAATAGATTTGAGCACGCTGACACCCCCAACCCCATCACACAATCCCTATTGTTGCCTGGTGTGCTACTTTTATTGGAAATGTGGCATTATACAAGGGTTAAAGGTTACTAAAAGCAAACATTCTTTCACATAACATTTCTACTTCATATACTGCCACAGTCTCTTTAATTAAACTCCACGAACTCCATAACGGTGTTGGTTACTCAGTAGCATGACTTTTTTGTATAAAGTGCTGAGTATTGTTTCATACTTCACCTAGACAACAATATAGGGATTGTGTGATGGGGTCGGGGTGTCAGCGTGGTCAAATCTGTTCATTAACAATGTTTCATGTATCCCATTCCCGTCCATATTTTGTCTCCGTTTCATCCCTATGTAATGCCTCTTTTTTAAATTCACAGGATTTTTAATTTACTTGTCTCCACTTGTTGTAATTTACTACTACGCAAGTCCCCTATAGAACATGGAAATGATGTAATACGCTTGTAGAAAATACCATGTGATGTAAAGAGAAAAAAGATGTGGAGCTCTGGACAGCTGTTTCGGGCTTGTTGGCCCTCATCAGCAGAGCATACCACAACTTCTCCCTCCGCATCACGAGTTTATAAAGGCTGCCATGAGATTCATCACCACAAGGCATTGCTCAGGCTACCTGGAGTGCAGCGCTTTTGGTTCTGAAAAGCACTGACGTGCAAACCCTCGGCGCACTGTGACGCGCACGCGTAAGTAAACGCATACGCTGTACCACTAATTGATGGGCTGGGTTTAGTTTTAGCTGTTACTCGTGGTCTCTTGCCAGCTCGCGCAGAGTCTGACGCGGGCTAACTACACTGCTATATAGCATGCGAGAGGCGATACACGCCCTGCGTTACATCTTCTGGTGCCTCCGAGGTACGCAGAGCACGCGGGTCGATCACGCCGTTGTAAGCCGATGTGTATTTGCATATTGGCTTTTTCGCACTCTAGCTTTGCAACGGAGCGTTTTCAGAGAAAACCGTTCGAAATTTCTTACCTTCATTGCCCATTCAGTAGGTGGTATCCTTTTTGAGACGAACGAACACTCGAGAAGTGAGATTGAGAGTAACAGACACACAGACAGACACACTAAAGTGCAAACCCTCGACGAACTGGGCATGCGTGGTACCGCTAATTGATTGGCTGGGCTGCTATTAGTATGGAGTATACTCGTGGTCTCCCGCTAGTAGCGTCTGACACGGGCTAGCTACAGTAGTAGATAGCATGTGGGAGTCGATACACGCCCTTCGTTGTGACTTCTCATGCCTTCAAGATACACAGAGCAAGCGGACCCGAGCCTGTTCAAAATATAAGCGCATGCGCATTTTCCGCAGCAATAAAAATGGCCGACTAGCATTAGCCGTGCAATGGCGGAAGCACTCTAGCTCTGCAACGGAGCATTTTCAGAGAAAACTGTTCAAACTTTCTGACCCGTTAGGTAGGTCATATCGTTTGTGAGACGAACAGACATTCGAGAAGTGAGATTGAGAGTGACAGACACACAGACAGACAGACAAACCCAACTACAGTACCCTCGCTGCGCATGCGCGCCGAGGGTAATAAAAGCACTGAAGTGCAAACTACGGTGGCTTTTTAGGGCCACAAATACCATCGTAGAAACTTCAAAACTTCCGTTGTAGAGACTTCCATTCCTGTTCTAACCCTCACTGTAATCTAGCTAGCTAGCTAGGCTAGCAAGCTAAAGTTCTAGCTGGCGGGATAGCTGAGATAGTGTTGCGGCGTCATGAAAGCTGTCATTACTCAGTTCACCTCGCCATGATTCATGGGTTATAAGTTTCATCCATCTTTTTGGTCGCCATCCCAAAGGCTACACGAAGAAAACTTAATGTACACTTGTAGCTCAATGTTCCATAAGTTAGATAGTGCTGTGTTGGTCCTGAGATCTACCTGTTGGGACAAGGTTTCAGAATGTTGTTCCTAGTATTTCCAACTTCCATTTTGACCTCACTTCCATTCTGAACCAACTTCCAAGTTCAATTCTGTTCAAAGCTGAAACACCTTGTTTGCTCCAGAGAATTTAGAGAGAAAACTGCTTCTTTATTCTGCTAATACTGTTTGTGGTACACAAACAAGGACCCCCATGCCTTTGTCTGAAGTCACAGTATATTATTGTTAGCCATAATATGCCACCAAAAGCCAATCCGGTGGAGTTTTCCCAACATCAATGAACATGAAGTCAGTGATCTGTATATACTGTCGGTTTTTGCAACACTAGGGATATTCAGTGCATCTTTACAGACCTTCATTGCCCATTCAGTAGGTGGTATCCTTTGTGAGACGAACGAACACTCGAGAAGTGAGATGACGAGTAACAGACACACAGAAGGACAGACAGACAGACAGACCCAACTACAGTAACCCTTGCTGCGCATGAGCGCCGAGGGTTAATGAAAAGCACTGAAGTCGGCGCACTGTGACACGCACGCGTAAGTAAACGCATGCGTCGTACCACTAATTGGTGGGCTGGGTTTAGTTTTAGCTGTTACTTGTGGTCTCTTGCCAGCTCGCGCAGAGTCTGACGCGGGCTAACTACACTACTAGATAGCATGCGAGAGGCGATACACGCCCTGCATTGCATCTTCTGGTGCCTCCGAAGTACACAGAGTACGCGGATCGATCCGACTGTGGTAAGCCATCCCGTCCGTTGTGTATTTGCATATTGGCTTTTTCGCGCTCTAGCTTTGCAACGGAGCAGTTTCAGAGAAAACCGTTTGAAATTTCTGACCTTCATTGCCCGTTAAGTAGGTCGTATCCTTTGTGAGACGAACAGACATTCGAGAAGTGAGATTGAGAGTAACAGACACACAGACAGACAGACAGACAAACCCAACTAGGGTAATGAAAGTGCAAACCCTCGGCAAACTGCACATGCGCGGTACCACTAATTGATGGGCTGGGCTATTAGTGTGCGTTTACTCGCGGTCTCCCCCTCTAGTAGCTCGCAGAGAGTCTGACACGGGCTAGCTACAGTAATAGAGAGTCGATACATGCCATTCATTGTGACTTCTTGTGCCTTCAAGATACACAGAGCAAGCGGACCGACCCGGTTGAGGTATAATCGAAGCCTGTGCTAAATATAAGCGCATGCGCATTTTCCGCAGCGATAAAAGAAACTGAGGAAAAATGACTAGTAAACGGCAAGGAAAAGTTGACACCAAAGAACAATTAAATTAAATTAAACTAGACCGTCTACCGGTATTAGCCGTACAATGCGGGATGCGCTCTAACTTTGCAACGGAGCATTTTCAGAGAAAACCGCACGTAACTTCTGACCTTCATTGCCCGTTAAGTCCTTTGCGAGACGAACAAACACCCGAGAAGTGAGATGTAGAGTAACAGACAGAGTAACCCTCGCTGCGCATGCGCGCCGAGGGTTAATGAGATTCGTCCCCACAAGGCTTCGCCACTGGTATGTGCTGACATTCGTGGTTCGGAGCCTAGGCCCCTCCCCACTCCTGCTGGTCAAGGCCCGAATTAAAAAAATGGCATAGTGGATGGTGCCGCGGCAATGAAGCCAGCAAGCACCCATATCCTGCCAGTGCATACACATGTATGCATACTAAGTTTCATCTCCATGTGTGCTGCCATTAGCTAGTTAACCCTCGGCGTGCATGCGCAGCGAGGGTTACAGTAGTTGTCCCGTAAGTGTGTCAGTCAGTCAGTCAGTCTGTCTGTCAGTCTATCTGTTACCACGTTTTCTGCGACTACGCGCAACGAGATAACAAAATAGCGATACCAACGGGTTTGTCGCTACACTGGCTTCATTTTTAAAAAGGCGATTTTCGTATAACAACTGTGTTCTAAAGTTCAATTGCAAATTAGCACAGGCTTACCTCGACCGCGTCCGCTCGCTCTGTGTATCTTGCAGGCACACGAAGTCATAACGAAGGGCGTGTATCGACACCCGCATGCTATCTACTACTATACCTAGCCCGTGTCAGACTCTCTAGCGGGATACCACGAGTAAAGATACAAAAAGCCCAGCCCATCAATTAGTGCTACCGCGCATGCGCAGTTCGCCGAGGGTTTGCACTTTAGTGCTTTTCATTTGAGGAGTGAAGAAATAAATGTCTGAGGTTATTTTGTTGTTAACCCTCGGCGCGCATGCGCAGCGAGGGTTACGGTAGTTGGTTTGTCTGTCTGTCTGTCTGTGTGTCGACGCTTATTCTGGCACTACAGGCCACGAGGTGGCTAATGAGCGATACCAACGGCTTCAGAACTACGCGGGCCTGAAAAATTATTAGGCGATTTTCCTGAAACGACTGCGTTCGAGAGCGACAAACTGGCACGGTCGCGGACCGAGTTCCGTGGTCCAACCCATCATTAAGCGGTGCGCATGCGTATAGACACGATCAACGCGGTATGCTGGCTCCACCTCTACCTGATCCGCTTGCTGTGTACCTTGGAGGCACATTAAGAAGCCACAGTGAAGGGCGTGTATCGACTGCCGCATGCTATCTACTACCGTAGCTAGCCCGTGTCAGATTCTCCGCGAGCTACTAGCGGGAGACCGCGGGTAAACGCCAATAGCCCAGCCCAGCCATTAGCGATACCGCTCATGCGCAGTTCGCCGAGGGTTTGCACTTCAGTGCTTTTCATTGTTCAAGTAATAATTATGTGGTTGTCATGGAATGATAATTATCATGCACATTCGAGGTCGTACCAAGTTTCATCTGCATGAGTACTACCATTAGCGAGTTTGAGGAGTGAAGAGTGCCTGAAGCTATTTGATGTTGTTCAAACAGTATGTGGTCGTCATGGAAAGATGTAGTTGTCATGGAAATGATGTAATATGCATGCCTCCATGCGTGCTACAGTTAACAAGTTTGAGGAGTGAAGAAGTAATTTTTTTTTAAATGCCTGAGGCTATTTGTTGTTGTGGTCGCCATGGAAACGATGTAATACACATGCGCACCAAGTTCACCTCAGCTCCATCCGTGCTACAGTTAGCAAGTTTCAGGAGTGAAGAAGTAGTTTTAAGGAAAATTGCTTTGAGGCCTTTTCAAGCAATATGCTGTGTACGCACGTATGTTACATCATTTCCATGACAACTTCATGTTTCCCTGACAACCACATATTGTTTGAACAAGCTCCAGGCACTCTTCATTCCTCAATTTTGCTAACGGTAGCACTCATGGCGATGAAACTTGGTACGAATGTGTATGACATCTCTTCCATGACAACACCATAGAACAACAACAAACAGCCTCAGGCATTTACTTCTTCACTCCTCAAACTTGCTAACGGCAGCACACATGGAGATGAAACTTGAATTGGTACGCATGTGTATTCCATGACGACAACAGTCATTTTTCTCTATTATTAATTTATAATTATAGGGGGCTCGCCCCCTTTCACAGAGATATATGCAGCAGTAAAAATGAGTGGAGAAAAGTAAATCTAATTTAAAAAAGAGGCATATAGGGATGGTATAAAAAGAAAGGGAGAGGAGCAATCTTCACCCAGTTAATGTCGGCACATGGCTAGTACATATTGTTAACCATCGGCGCGCATGCGCAGCAAGGGTTACGGTAGTTGGGTTTGTGTGTCTGTGCGTCTGTTACTCTCAATCTCACTTCTCGGGTGTTTTTTCGTCTCACAAAGGATACGACCTACTTAACGGGCAATGAAGGTCGAACAGTTTTCTCTGAAATTGCTCCGTTGCAAAGCTAGAGCGCGAAAAAGCCAATATGCAAATATACAACGGACGGGATGGCTTACCACAGTCGGATCGATCCACGTGCTCTGCGTACTTCGGAGGCACCAGAAGATGCAACACAGGGCGTGTATCGCCTCTCGCATGCTATCTAGTAGTGTAGTTAGCCCGCGTCAGACTATGCGCGAGCTGGCAAGAGACCACGAGTAACAGCTAAAGCTAAACCCAGCCCATCAATTAGTGGTACGGCGCATGCGTTTACTTACGCGTGCGCGTCACAATGCGCCGAGGGTTTGCACTTCAGTGCTTTTCATTACCCTAGGCAGAAGGGATGGTGGCAGAAATAATGCAGAGAGATATGGATAAAAGCCATGCATGCAAACGAATCTTCACTGCATGGGCACTGTACTCAACTAAAACCTACGACCTAGGAATGAACTAGGCTGGTACAATGTAGAATTTACATACCATGTCAGTTCCAGAAGCAATGGACCGAGGAGAGCTGGCTCCAAACGAAATAGTACTGGCTCCAGTCTCTCTGTATCTGTAGGGAATTAGTACATAATCCCAACCTCCGACCGAGCCTGTCACTGACTTACACTGGCAGTTTAACTAGCTCAGTCATGGGAGGACAATCTCTCATTGGACAAGAATTCACGTGAGGGTGAAAGGCAGCCAGCTCTCCCTGCCAGCCACACCCTCTGTCCTCGTGGCAACAGAACATACACAGCGAGTTGACTTGGCGCTGGAAGTGCTTGTTAAACATTGTGCTCCAATCCTTCTTCTTACACAGCGGGCATGCCCCTCCCTCCCGCTGTATCCTGCTAGCAGCTTCCTCTGAGAGATGATTACCACAACATGATGTGAGGTAAGGATGGAGCAGAAGACCAAATGTCACTGGACAGAAGAAGTCATCAGATGGCTGCTCGACAAACAGATAATCTTCCACTGACACTAGCTTGGGTTGCTGGGCAAATGGTCTAGCTCTGAAATAATAATTATAGAGTAAACACTTTGTAGTCTTTAATAGATCAGTAATATATACCCTGGAAGAGCTGGTCCAGTGGCTGGGACTGATGCTGCACTGGCTGGACCACTGATGGTGGATGGAGTGACAGGCACCTTCTGTTACAGTGCAACTGTTATCATCAGACACTACTGGTCACAGACACTCACCTCCTGAGGTTTACGTGAACGATAGACACAAGCTCCAGCAATCTCCAGCTTAGTGGCTGAATATTTCTTCAGAATTGCTCTGGGCACTTCTTTCTTCAACATCTCAACGACTGATTCAGGAATGAACCAGGTGATGATGAAGGAGCCTGGGCGAACTTGGGCAATCATCATGGCGCACTCTCGCAGGTTGTAGTGAGAGGCGTACTCCTGTCGAAACTGCTCCACAACTTCCAGTGTCACGTTCTCTGGCCACTCAAAGTCAGCGACCATCTCTCGGAATTCTCCTGTTGGTCTTAATCTCTTTCTCTTCTGTGTCCGGCAGAACATACTCAATGGCGTCTTCATTCTGAACTGCTGTAGATGAAACTTGTAGGCCTTCATCTGAGGTTTAACTTCGTCGAGATCAAACTTTTTCACCAGGTGGTCAAGGGGAGGGGGACTGAGGTAGTTCCAGTGGAAGTTCATAGTTCCAAACAGCTCAGGGATGTCGGCAGCTTTGAAGAGAACACTGACATGGCTCTCAGCGAACATTCTGGTATTGTCGTCTTCATCAGCAGACAGTGATGTCAGAACATCTGCAGCTCTCTTTACTTGAACCCCGCGATCCTCGAGACTTTTTCTGATGGTGTTCTTGAGATTGTCAAAGATTTTCTCCAAATCCGTGATTATCTTGTTGACTTCTTCACTCGATGATGGAATCTTAATCACACCACCATGACCACTATCTATTGTAACAATAAAACCAAACTATACTGTGTTTTATTAAGTGTATTTTGTTTACATAACTTGCACAGTGCACCTTTCGCAAAAAAGTATTCATGGACAGTGACCATCATCAAAAATCGGATGACCCATAATTATCATTTCACCCTCTTGCAGTGCTTTTTAAAGGGTGCCAATTGCTTGAACTTCCATTAGACGGAGCTCACACAACAGCGTGTTTTTCAAAAACACAAAAGAAAGAACCAACCAAAGATACGACTTTGCAAATACAATGAAAACCGTTGACAGGGTGTAGAAAACCTTCATTTTCCAATGCTGTTCGGAACATTTACTCACCTGAGACTGAACAGAGGAGGTTCTGTTGAGAGGTTGGCTCTGACTTGACTTCATCATCACCAACCGCGGTGGCCTCAAAATAATTTTCTGAGATGGTAAAGACATTTCTAGCCGTTACCAGGAATTCGCGGACATTACAAGAAAACATGCCTCTGGAATGTAAAAAAATCCGCGCGGGTGAAATGTGTGGAGTTCAATGGGAACACAAACTTTCTTGCAGCGTTGCTTGATGGTCTACCAACTCCGGAGAGGTCCGAACGTCTAGAAATCAAGAACGACCACTCCTCCACTGCCCAAGCACAAAATATTCACCGTGGAGCAGCTAGTCTTTCGGCCAACTACAATCTCCCGCACCGCATGCGTTCCCCATTGAACCGTGTACATTTTGAATGAAATTTAAAAATCCGTGTGGGTCTAAACCTTTTTTGAGCGGCCATGCTTACTCTATTTTGATGCCACCGCGGTTGGTCGTTGAGATGTCCGAACGTCTAGAACTGTAGAAGAGAGTCTAAAGTTTCAGATGAACCCAAAAAAATATGTTGGTTATATACAAAGTTAAGCGGCCAAATGCAGTTGAAAATCGGTAAAATTTGGATGAAGGAAACTGGCCCCGAGGAACCGGGAAGACACGTTTCTGTGTCTCACGCCACTTACTGTCATCTAAAAGTCTTAGGGGTTTCTGTGGCAATAGGCCTACCTTTTGCACCGCTACAGAGTTTTCCCCGCTACTCTAAAGGTTATACCTAGCTGGCTCGTACTACAGTCACCGCTCATGCACGCTGATGCGTCCATCCGGCACAACCGAAACTCTCACTTATTTGGCAGACAACGCAGTGTTTCAGTTAGTACGCTACCTGCACATCAGTAGTGGAACCTTCAAGCCTACAGACACAAGAATGGTTCGGCCAAAGCCTCTCTATACAACCAAGCAAACGCCCCGCCAGTTGTGGCTTTTCTCACGCAGCTTCTCACGTGCAGTGGACTCAAAGGTGCTTTGGTATCCACCAACATACATTCAAATGAGTGTCAATAACCACATTCACTAAAAACAGAAAAAGTCAGTCTCTGGAAGATGGCTCCGCTAGGCAAAGGACAGGCGTAGAGGTCGGGCCGTTCCTTGTTGGATACACCATCAGAAGGGCAGGCAGACATCCATCACAACGTTTTTCATGTCAAACCTTCTCCAACACAGAGTGGTGTAGCGAAGAGCTGGCGTATCCACCGTCTTCCTTCGAGAAATACTGAGTGCGCTTCAGATAGAGATACACGTAGCTATGGTAACCGCCGTTCTGTCCGCATGCGCGACGAAGAATAACACGTAAACAAGCTGGTTTACATGTTTACATGGCGCACAACAAGCTAAGTACAGAAATAACACCGTGACCGCTAAACTAGGCAGATTGCTGGTAACGTAAAAAATATGAATCGAGCTGATGGTAACATACCAGTAGTAGTCTTAGGCACCACATCACGCGTCGACGTAGGGTCAGGGAAATGATCTGCTTCCACTCTTCTAGCTAGACTTGGTAGATTCACCGCAGGCGCTTTCAAGGCCTCTAAAATGACACTCCACGTCGGTCTTGGCTGTATTTGCTTCGTGAAGGCAAGAAGAATGTGCAGCAAGCGCTCTTCCGGATCCTGGTATTGGCGGTGAATCGCCTCCACCTTGTGTGACGGCAGTAGCTTGAGCCCCAACACGTAGGAGTGATTCTGCGCCTCGACAAGCTCGTCCAAAATTCCCGCCACGTCGTCTGATTTCAACGTCTCGTCGACCGCTGGGGCTGCGCAAGCAAAACATTATACAGCACATTCACCCTCTGTAATGGCCTACCTTCCGCCATCTGCTGTTGTATATTATATCCTTGTAGTCCCCCGCGGCACCGCCCTATTATACGCACGCGCGCGCGCAGCGTTCAGATCAGATCACGTGCTTTTTAACGCATCCACACGTGCACGTACGTGCTTGTACGTACGTGTGTCACCACATAGGGAGCAAAATCATAGAACACACATAAAGACAGTACAATTGCTATGATTGAACAAAGGCATGTTGACACATGGTAAATATGAAGTATGGTGCATAAGGTTACTATGACTACAGATGTGAGGCGTGTCAATAATCAGTATTTAATTAGTTAAGGACACCCTTGGAATTAGGACACCTCTCTAATAAGTCTCACTATCATTATGTAGTGAAGAACAGTTTTTGCATATGCAAAAAAATAAGGTCTGTCGCATTGATTTCTTGATTTGAGAGGTTCCATTGTATCTATAATTTGCAGTAAAGGGAAAAAAATTGTTACTGATTGTGTCTGTGTCTATTTCGTTCTCTATAGCTACCCACGTCCTAGATGTGCATACGACCCCACTGCATTGCCACCTGTCGACCCTGGCAGGTGTGAATACAATGTCGAGTTGGAAGAATGTGCTTTCAGTGAAGGTGACCAGTTGTAGCTACCCACCTCTTTGCTTTATCCCGGCTTGTGTAGTGTGCGATGGGGGGAAGGTTTTTCGGGAATGTGGATCTCCCTGTCCTCAAACATGTGATGGCATGAACATCCCTTCTGGTCACCTCTTTTGTCCAGCAGTCTGCCTCAGAGATTGCTTCTGTCCTCCTGGCACTATTGTACACCAGGACCAGTGTATTCCTCAACATGTGTCCGCCAGCTCTGTCATAATATATACACAAAGTCCTTATAGGTGCTTGAGACTGCGGGCTGAGATTATAAGCTCCCCTGATGACTGGTATATTATTAAAGGACAGACAGAATGAGATAATGGAGTTTCAGTAGGGATCGATGGTGGTGGGAACTGGACAAAAGCCATTCACACTCAATCCCCCTTTCTCATCCAAACACACACACACGCACACGATATTATCATCAGGCATATTATAATATACCTTTGTGAGGGTAAAAGAAGTATATACTATACAGGGGCAGAAGCACTGGTTGCCCCAGACATACTAATTTGTACGTGCGTAGTGTGAGTGTCATGGTAACAACATTCTTGTTGTGTGCACTTGTACATGTAATAAGCATCAATCAGCACTAACAGTTTATAGTCTTAGCAAACTTCATAAATATGCACAACAAACTGGTGTACAATTTTACAAAACATAGTTCACAGCATTTATGACATCATCTTCAAACTCAGCCCATCCTGGATGCTCTGGACTTCAAACCAAATGACCTTCAACTTCTTGAACCTCTTGGTGAACTCGCCGTACACACTTCAGAACTGGAAACTTGTATATACCCTGTATCCCCCTCACTGTGATTTCCACGAGCACAGTCAAAAAGTTCTGCCCCCCCCTCCCTTCAAAATCCTAGATCCGTCACTGAGAACTGAAAATGTCTTCCCCTCTAAAATCTTCTGTGGCTCCCTCCTATCTTCCTCTAAAATCTTCTGTGGCTGGTCTCATCTGCACAAAGTTGTCCGGAAACACCTGCCTCTCTCCGTTCTTGGTCCCCTCACACCAGCCGTGATGTATATACCTGAAGAGAGAGAGAGAGAGAGAGAGAGAGAGGGAGGGGTGGGCATAGAGATGGGATGTAATTCGTGCCTGGAACAGACAGAATAGAGAGGTTATACCCAGCGACCACATTTGTTAGTAGGCAGAAAATTTCTTTGCATAATGTTTAAGAGTACTTGCTACCCCTCGTTGGGCACACTTTCCTTTTCAGTATTAATTTAACAAGTGGAAAAATCATTTCTTCAAAATGAAGGGGGATATAGGGATGGCTTGAAGCACCAAAAAGGAAGAAACAAGGGGTCATTACACAACAAAGATGCACAAAGCCACATGACACCATCCCTATATCTTTGACTCATATTAAACTTTA